CCACTACATTTCCTATGTGGAACACACAATTAGTTTGTCAACATAAATATCTAATCTAAAAATAATGAACCTGAGCCAACAATAGTCAATGGGATTACCAAATAATTCAATTCTCAGAATACTTTAGGCAACTTCTTGTTGCTGCGTCTTCAGGAATCAGACTTATGACTGGTTTCAGGAGTATATGTGGAACTCTGGGCCAGCGAAGAAAACTGTAGGGCAAGTAGCTCTTCTCTGCTGTACTTCAACCTTTGATCTATTGCATAAAGGGGACGAAAGAAAAAATTCATATAACCTCGTAAATGACAACCTACTTAGAATCAAGATTTAGATACTGACATCCCTTGCATTACTTTTCAAATCATTTTATACTCAATTTGAATGTTCTCAACATTAACCAGAACATCAAGTTATTCTTCAGAAAGAAAATATCTTTGTACCTGTTATTTTGTCAGTAACGTAGAGCAAATATTATCAGCAGATATGCATGTAAAAACTCGCCATGTATTATTTTTCTTAGTTACATACCTACAAAATACGGTGATGTGACAGTAGATCTGTTTCTCTGGTTCAGTCGTAATTTCTTTGGAGTGAGATGGGTTGAAGGTCGATTGGAGGAAGTAGGATCAGATAAGAAGTGAAAAAGTTCATGTCTAACTTCAATTTGTGGAAACCTTCTGTGAAATTCCAAAAGACCATCCTCAGTGAGGAGCCAACAACCTCTCAAGTCAATCCTTTGCAGAGTTGCCGCAGGCTTAAGAAAATCAAATGCCTGGTTAGTCAAAACTGCATCACGAATACTGAAGGTTTTCAGCTTGGGCAAAATTGACAAGTAGCTCAGGGACACATCCGTAAATGAGGGACTTCTGATCAGCAAGTGACTCAGCCTTGGGAATTTTGATAATGGGCGTAGAGATCCATCATCAACATGAGTATGCTCCAGATTCAACATTTCTAAACAATCAAGGGTTCGCAATTTTGTCAATGAGAGAAATTCACTTCCCTCTGCAGCTGATAGGTGAATATAACCTGAAATTTATGAACAAAAAAAAAAAAAAAAAAAAAAAAAAAAAAAAAAAAAAAAAAAAAAAAAAAAAAAAAAAAAAAAAAAAAAAAAAAAAACAGAAGACAGAAGTAATCAGATGGTTTGAAGTGACATGGTGAACATACCAGCAACAATAGGTGCCCATAATTTCCCATATCCTGCGGAGTAATTTCCAAACAAGTTTATTTCTATCTAGCACAGAACAAAGGCTAAACATTTTCAATTAGTATTCATCCGTTAATGTAATGCCAATAGAATTAAATGCATCAGCTTATGAAACCACCCACATAAAACCTGCACATGGTTATTGTGGCCTGCCTTTAAGAAGAAATATTAACTTCCAGTTCAAGAGAATAAAAGTGTTCGGCAAGCTAACTACTATATGAAGGTGCTAGATAAGAACGACAGCAGAATTGGCGAGTGTTTGGCGCATGATAAAAAGAAGCCAAGGGGAAAGTGCAGCATATATGATCTGAATTGGTATACTCGAAGTATTCTTTAGTACAAAAGCAATACCTTTGATGTCTGTTTCACTGAGGTCAATACTCTTCAAGGAAGGCATCGTACTTATATATGATAGGGCAACATCATCAATCATGGTATGAGATAGTGATAAAGTTTCAAGTTTAGGTACTTTCCCGGCCAAAATTCCAACTCCAGATGAGCTGACTGTTGTGCAGCTGAGGTTCAGATTTTTCAAATTTTCCCCAACAGACGCAAGTAATTCAATTGAGTTGTCTCCTATGGTAGTAGAGCTAAGGTCCAAATATTCTAATGCTTTCATATGAGTTAAGAAGCCGAATCTGTGAAGAGAAGCATTCGAAAAGTCCAGATGATATAGGAAACTGGTTCCAACAAATCCCAGGTCTTCAGTCTCATTGGAAAATGTAGCACCAGAGGCAATAAGTTTTTTCAGAGGAACATTATCACCAGGCCCTTTAAGTGTAGAGTCAATTATGCAGTTACTCATATTCAGGCATTCTAGATGAGGCAAGTTTGGGAACTTGGTGACATTAGTCCAAGCTATGTTCAGGAAGTTTAACTTTGGAAACATTTGTAGAACATCAGATCCACTGCTGGATATTTTGCTACCCCAAAGATCAAGGTGGTGTAATTTCGTAAGCACCTAAAAGAGTGTAGAACAGCAATGGAGAATCAAGTAAAAGAAAATATTAATTCAAAAACAAATTGTAAGGAAAGCGCAACAAAACAAATTGCAAGGAAAGAGCAACAAAATTTAATAGACAAACAATAAATAAACAGATTTCACATGGGAAATAAATAGTAAGATTGAGTTTCAGAGGAGAAATAACAATCTAATTATCCATATACTAGTTTGTCAAAGAAGAAGCTACAATGCAATCCAATCGTCAAGTGGGACAAAACGTCAAAAAGAACAAATATCTGGAGTGTCCTGCGCCATTCACAGATCCAATAGCCATTCAATACATTATCAAGCATTATTTGATGTTGTAGACATGTGCCAAGTGTAGGGAAGAGAATGCCTACGCGTTGGCACTGCATGAAAAAAATAGGTGTACCATGCAGCCACAGTCTCACAGACAAAAGGAACATGGGATTCACAGTAAAACATGTAGACACATTGTCTTGACTAAAAAATTCAAAAAGAAAATACCTGAAGAGAACTCAGGGCCTGATCGGTGACAGGTAGACCACCCAAGTCCAAGAACATCAATGTCTTTAGGGAAGAAAGGAGGGTAACTCCACGTGCAGTGATGCCAGTCTCAGCAATGCACAGCTTTTCCAAAGTCGGTATGGACAAAAGATGCCTAATTCCAGCATCGGTAACTTTCAAACATCTAGAAATGTTCAACTCCCTTAACGTAGTCATCCCTATAAATAAACAAAGGGCATAACTATCGAACTTAACTAACTTGCAGCACTTCAATTAAGATGGACCTGTTAATATAGAGTAGATAAAAGGAGGAAAAGAATTTGAAAGTATCTTTCTTTTCATGGAAAATAAACAAAAGATTTTCAGGGTTCCACTAGGGCAGTGGAGAAATTACAACGAATTAGAATCATTCGACACGGAACTTTCTGTAACTTGCAATTCAGCCGTCTATAGCATACCTGCAACAGCCCATATACCAGAACTAGATAGCCTGTGGCAATTTGAGATGTTTAATGAGCGTAAGTAACGAAAGGCCCCTATATAGGCCATCCATTCTGAATCGACAGCATTTTCACCACTTAGATCAACCACCTCTATGGTATATTTGACAACTCTGCATTAAAGCATCCAGTTCAGCAGAATGTTTGTGAACAACAAGGATAACTTGCTAAATCTCCCCAGCTATAGGTGAAAAACAGAGAGGAATAAAGGAAGTACATAAACTTTATAAGCATTCCCTAAAAGTATATCACCCAATCAAATTGAAGAATAACACCAATATGAGCATTGCTTAGCAATTATGGCATCTCTCCTTTCTTCAAGAGGCCATAAGTTCGACCTCATATGCGATGAAATCATCTAAGAAATATGAAATAGAAGAATAACATTTGCAAGACGGGAAATACCAAAATTATAAGCTATAGCTTCCTCTTCAGCTACTTTTTAGGAGTTTCCAGACAAGACCAAATTGAGGACGATTATGGCCATCTCAATCAAGAGTTAACCGGAACTTCATTTCAACTAAGCAACAATTCTAGTATAATGCAACTGGATCATTTCAACATACACATCACAGAATCAAAGATAAAAGCGTCAAAGTAACTTAAGATGCAAAGCGAAGCAGATTGGTCACTCCAACCCCGAAGTACTCAAAATGAAATCTGAATTCACACAAATTGTAATAATTTCCATCCAATATAGAAGTTTTACGTCTTGATGAGAGACTTCCGGTCTCCAATGTAGGAATTGAGAGCCTAGAAGTCCGCCTTCGGTCGTTCAACATACATTTCTAAATAATCACAAACAAAAAACGGAATCGAAAAATACTCGAGAAGAGAAGGGTAGAGGAGACGACGAGCATGTAGACGGCGAAGAAGAGCATCCGCGAGATGAGAGGGCAAACGCTCGAGGCTCCGCTTCTGTCTCCGCCATTTCTCGACGCTGTCCTTGCTCTCACAGGCCGAATTGAGACAGAGTTCAACCAGCTGATTCTCCATTTCCATAGATTAATCTGCTTGCTGGATCTCAATTTCCCGTTTGATCAGAGAAGGATTTTCTTGTTCTTGTTCTTGTTCTTGTTCCCGCTCCCGTTCCCAATGGCTGAATTTGGCGCAACACAAGTCAATATCCATCGAACGAACGAAGAAAGAACTTGCGAGTAAATTACATTTTTAGACATCACATCACATGCCGCAGTTTCCTTTTTCTTTTCAAGGAATAAATTCCCATTTTATCATTTTTATGTTAACAAATATTGTTTTTGTATATAATTCTATAATTTTTAGTACAAATAAAAAGTATACCGAAAAGTAATTTCAATACAAACTTTTCAAAGCATGGGGGCTTAAAATGTAATTTTACTAAAACCTTTCCTTTATCCCCAAGGATCTTTGCAATGTTCAAATAATTATTATTTAAAGAAAAAATATTTCCAAATATTAGACCCAACCCATAATCATTAAACCTCTACTTCCACTTTCTCGGTCCAAAGTACGTGCCTTAATCAATTAAAATTCTCGACTATCATCTCTCCAACGTCATCATTTGCATCTACCCTTTATTAAGATGGCAACATCTATTTCAATTTTCAATTTACCAACTGACTTGTAGTTCTTTGTAGTTTTAAAAAGCGAAAGGTTTCCAGACCCTTACAAGAATATTTCCGTTCGCCATATCATTTGTAACAGTCCAATCCCACCGCCAGTAGATATTGTCCACTTTAGACTGTTACGTATTACTGTCAGCCTCACAATTTTAAAACGCATCTGCTAGGAAGAGATTTTCACTCTGGTAAGAAATGTTTCATTCCCCTCTATAGCAGAAAAAATACAAAGTTTTGATTGTAGCAATGATTCAACTGTAACAAGATAAGCAAAAAAACACACCATGTTTCACAAACTATATTTGAGTGTGAAGAACAAGAAAATGTAGCAAAACACTCATCTAAAACATACACAAAGCAACTTCACAATTCAAAGAAAGAAATTAAGAACTCTCTTGCCAATTCGTTGAGAAGAAGGCAGCCATCTTTGGTTGCTTCTCTGACACTCAGCTGTTCATTCTGTCTATATAGCTTTGAAGAGGTGGAGAAAGAGGATGAGCACCATTTCAAACTCTCTTCTCTCCTTTCTTCCCCCAACTTCAGCACCATTATTTACCCTAATTGCATCTAAAAACCTATGCAAACTCACTCTATCACGCATGAATATCAACTTTCTTTTGAAAAAAAATGGTAACGGAATGAGATCGAGATCGTTCGAGACTTCGCTATCTATAACTGCACAATTCTTACACCATTCCATGAACTGCCAAAGCTTGTATGATGTATCTCCTTGGTTTGGTTTCTTACATTCTTTCCCTTATTTAGAAGAGAGTGTAGCTGGAGACTGAGATATTGGCTGGAGAAGCTGTGTGAATGTACACAAACTCAAGGCTTTCTCCGGCAGCTAATGAGTTGAGCCAAGATGGGAAGACATATGAATCACCAGATTTCTCCAAACCCCAGAGAGGACCGTAAAGTCGGAATATCGAAAGTTTCAGATCTTTGAGACTTTTTGGTGACTTGTTAGTCACTTTTGTTGAGTACCTGTAGTAAGTCTTTCCCTTAGCAGTCCAGGAACTTGTCATCTTCTGCTCAACAGTAATTGGAGTAGAAGACGACACTGCAAAACAAGCACTTCACTCAAATATTTGCCTTCTATAATCAATAAAAATTTAACTATTCTTTATCTTTCCTTCCTAATCAGTTTATATTGATAAATTAACTCATCATACCTGGAGATGGAAGAGTCTTGGACTGTGCAGATGGATCTGGATGATTAACAGGAGGAAGAAGCACTGTGGAAGAACACAAAATAATGATGATCAGTGATCATGATTTTACTTGAAAATGCTATTAGAAAGCTGATTATAATCACCTAAATACCTGGAAGGAGCTGATTGTAGCCACTATGACCACCACTGAGTCTGGCTAAAATACCAAGAATTGGAGCATTGTTGTAGGTAGCAGGCTCAGTTTGTTCATAATTGTCCCTTTCATCAGCAAAGTTGTCATAGGCATCAGGTCCACCAACAATGGCACCGGAGAGGAGGTTGGGGTCGCTTGCCTTCCTGCTGTACCATGTGGCATAGCCACCCCTGCAGCTGACAAAGGCAGAATTGACCTTGATCGAAACAATGGAAGATCCCCTGTGGTGGACTTGTCGTGGGTAATTGTTTCCATATCCCACCATGTAACTCGTAGCTCTGGGATTGTCTCCAAGAATGTAATCCACCTGGTTAAAATTTCACACAACCCATTTAGGCATTTCGTCAAACACTTCACATATAAAATCAAACTCTCCCCTCAAGAACAATGAGACAATTACTACAACATTCCCATTTGGAAAATATGTACAAACCTGAGATTTTGCAAAGCCAAGAAGCCCAGAAGGTGGGACATTGCCGGCGGCACACCTCAAATTGCCACCGGAGGAAGAGAGATAATCGGAATAGACAGTGGCGAGAAATGAAGCGCTGGTAACAAACTGCATATTGTTCCATCTCTGACGGAAGATGAGACCGGCGGGCGTAGTCTGAACATTACGAGTGCCTTTCTTCATGCAAGAACACAAGAAATTTTCAGCCTTTTCCTTATACCTCTCGAACACGGGAGCATGATGAGCCGCTCGTCCTTGCAATAAGAACTGCAAAAGCGTTCAATAACGAAAAGAAATTGGAGTTGAAAGCAAAATTAATGAAAGAAAAAGAAAGAAACCTTGGCGACAAGGGTTTGGACACCAGCATATTTGACATCCCAGCCAAATTCAGTCATGCTCCAACCAGTTCCTCCCATGGAGTCCCCATTTTCTCCCAGGTAATTCAAGTAATATTGATTGCTTGTTGCCTCATACAGCCAAGCAGCTGCCCACAGTAGCTCATCCTGCAAATTAAACCGTTCAGAACGACCGGCCCATTCAAAAGTGAGGTTTGGGCTTATGGATTTAAGCCCAAAAAGACTATGCGGCCCATTTAGGCCCAAAAGAAAAAAGGAGATGAGATGCGCACATTGTAGCCACTGACAGATCGATAGTACTTTTGAGCGACAGTAATACTGCTGTCGTATTTTCCTCTGTATTTGTCCGCGAACTCGAACAGCTGAAAATAAAAAAAACGATTTTTTAAAAAAAATATATCTTTCTTCAATGACATTCCCGTAATTTCACACTTGCGTTCACATGACCAATCACTCCCCACCGACACTTTTATCACGTGACTATTGTTATGGAATTGGTTCCCATTACTTTAATATTCGTAAATTTATATTTTAATATTCAATTTAATCAAACCATTAAAATCGCATAAATCATAGAATAGAAACTAATCATAATTTATCATATTTGTAATTTTCTTAAATAATACTTAGCCACATGGATTAACCATTTTCATTTTTATCTCTTTTCTAAAAAAAAAAAAAGCATTTAATATAGCAATAAATAAATAGAATAAAGTATTAACTACGGTAGTTTTACTATCATGCGCCGTGGGGCATCATTAGCATACGCTTTCAAATGTAATTTTCTTTTTTATTCTCTTTTTTGTGGATAAATTCAAATAATATATAATTGGTTGGCTAACCTGGCGGGCATGGGAGAGGAGCTCATTGGCGTAGGAGGGGTTGTAGTGGCGGAAGACGAGCGAGGCAGCGGCCATGGCGGCGGCGGTTTCCCCTGCGAGATCCGACCCGGGATTGCTCGGGTCGATCTTGTAAGCTCGTCGGTCCGTCGTCATGTCCTCCGGCCGCTGCCAGCAGTAATGGTCCGTGTTCCCATCTCCCACCTAACAATTCCGCACATCAATTTGCCTTTATTTTTCACATTAAAAAAAATTCTTCAAATATAATGCTTGCTTATATTCATTATAATAAAAGAAAAATTAAATCCAAATTCCATTTGATTAACAGTTGTACAAGGTAATTACAAATTAAGTCCCAAAAATACACACTTTTGTCCTATGTTTACTAAAAAAAAAAAGTCAAATATTCGTATAAATTAAACATTAGTAAATTTCTGTTCTGTAAGACAAAGAAAACATGATAATGACTACTAACCTCTCCATAAAGAACATAGGGTTCGGGGTGGGCTTTGATGAGGTAATCGGTGCCCCATTTCACGGCGTCAAGGGCATGTCCAAGTTCGCCATTAGCGGCCATTTGTTTCCCGTATTCCACAATGCTCCAACTCATCATCGTCACCGTGAATGCCATCGGCAGTCCGAACTTCACATTGTCGCCGGCGTCGTAGTATCCTCCGGTTAGATCCACCTACAACACACAAAACCCCAAAATTCAATCAACTTCCCAAGAAAAAAACAGTGATCATTTTTAGAGTAAGGAAACAGAGGCGAGGCGTTACCCCGCTGGCCTTGCCATCTTGGAGGCCGGAGTTGGCCCGCCAAGTGACGCGCTGGTTGTGGGGGAGGTAGCCGGATCTCTGAGCTTCGAAGAACAGAATGCTCTTGCTGAGAGCTTGGCCGTAGTCATGGCCGCCCAGCGCAGAGGGGGCAAAAATTACCAGAAACAGAGCAATGGGTAGGATGGGATTTTCCATGTTTTGTGAAGGAATTGGAAGGGGAAATGGCAATGCCCGTGGGATTTATGAGGGGAAAACAGAGGGACCCCTTAAGGGGAAGGGATGAGGAAGAGGGAAAGAGATGACTGTGGGGTGGGCAGTGGAAGAGAAGATGGGAGCACTATATAACCTTGGTGGGAAGGTCCCCCAAATGGGCAAAGATGGGGAAAAAAAAAATTCTTCTTTTTTTTTTATTATTTTTAATTTTGTTCATTTTAAGAATATATGTTTTAATTCGGACATTTTATAATCTTTTTCTATTTATTTTTAGACTTCACTTAATAAATTTTGTGCAATGTTTTCTTAATTTAAACTAAACATAATTTAAAACAGTTAATTTCTTTAATATTGTTGAACCAAATAAAGAAAATAAATTTTTTTTAATTATATTAAATTGTTTTTTAGGAGGTTGAGAACAGTTGAGAGAACAGAGCATGTGGGTGACTTAGTAGTTAATATTTTGAGGGTAGGTCGATGTGGAATTAATGTGGAATTAAATTTTTGGGGAAAATAACTATAATAAAATTTATGAAATTTATTATAAATTTGCAACTATAAAAGAGAGTTTACAAGGCAGCTGCCCTTTTCAGGTCTGTAAATTACCGAATAAAGGATCACATGAAAAGTGAGTTCCAAACTGAAAACAGGGTCAGTAAATTACGAAATTAACCTCTCTCTCTTTTTATTTTCTTGGTTAAATAATAATAATTGAAGTACCATTATATGAAATTTATTGTACATCACCATTATTTGTTTTATTTAATGTATTGTATTAATTTAAATATTCATTGCCAAATAACGGCCAACCAATCAAATCGAGCTAGACAAATTTTTGGTACATTTATGACCAAATTTAAATTCAACCTAAAATATGTTTATTAGGTTCGCAATTTCACGAATTTTCATTTTTTAACATTAAATATATATTTTTTAATTGGTTAATTTTGATTTATGTATTTTTTATGCTCGTTTCTATAACGAAACATGCTCAATATTCTGATCCACTATGGTATTTTGTCAATTTGCGTTTAATTATTTTATTTTAATTTTATGTTTAATTCTAGCTCTATTGCGGTAATATTGTAATTTTGTTTCACCATGAGACGATTATGGTATTTTGGTATTGCCTTTTGGACGGACACTAATACTTTATTTTTATTTTTGTTTCTTTATTCATATTTATTTTATTTTGTTTCTATTGATTAATATTTTACAAGTCCACCGACAGCACAAAATAATTTAATAATCACCATACTAATTTATTTATTTTTGTTCATTTATGCATCTTTTTAAGTTTCCATTTTACGTTATATACATTAAAAAATATCTGTATTTTGAAAATAAAATCAACATGTTGACTCGTAAAATTGTTTCAATTTTTGTTTTTAATAAATGCAGTGTGAAGACGAATTTAAAATTAATTATAGTTATTTTTAGAATATTCTATGTGAAAATCAAAATCTTAAAGAAAAAACTCACAAATACTGCAAAAATTGTAAATAAATAAAGTAAACATTTTTTACAATTAAATAAAAAAATTATTCAAACAAGTTGAAAAAGAAAGTATTTAAGAGAGGGAGAAGAGAGGGAAAAGAAGGAAAACGACAAAAGAAGATACGGTCAAAAGATCGGTGCTTCTAAGAAAGCTTTTATTCCCAACCGCAATCAACGGTCTCCACGAAAAGGAAGGTTATCCAAATAATAATTTTAAATTGTTGTTATTAATATTTTTCGAATTATTCTAAACTTATTTTATTTTAAGCTAATTAAGCAAACAGAATCAAGGCGGCAACCTCACGTGATGACCGGTTGGTGCCGGTTCTGTGACGGTCTCGGCTGCTATTTCCGCCGCTACTTTTTACCGGTTGTCGGAGGTTGTCTTTATTATTTAATAAATACTCGTAAATGTTTTGGATTCTTTATCTTACTTTTATTTAATTACTTTTGGCGCCTTCGGCTTACCTCCTTTCAATAAATTTCCCTCCTTGCTTCTTTAAAACACATTTAATATTGAAATTTATTTCTTACCCTTTTTTTATTTTATTTTATTTTTTATCTATTTCATCTTTAAATTCTAAAATATATAATAAATTTATTTTACATATTTAAACTTTTTAATATTCAAATTAATTAAGATTTTATTTCTTAAAGTTGGTTTTATAAATAACAAGAAATGTGGGGGCATATGCACAAAATTCTTATGGTCTCGATGAAGAAAAGTGATGGTTGCTTCCAAATTCAATTTTCACAATCCCAAATGCCAATAAATTATTTATTTAAAAAAAAAAAAGTCAAATTTATGTGAGATTTAAATTGAAAGTCAACGAACTATGGAATAAAGTTAAGTTAAAATGGTGGGGTTTATTTGAGGACTGTTTTTTAAACAGTTTTTGCCAAAAAAAAAAAAAAAAAACAGCAAAGTAGAAACACTCAACTCTCAGGAATGTTTCAGGCATGGCTGTCCATCTTGCATCCTTAAAAGTCTCAAATTCCTTTTTTTTTTTCCTTAAAATAAAAATTAAAGAAAAATGCCTATTTTTCTAATATATAACCTAGAATAATTATTAAATTAAAAAAAGGTTAAATCTTTTAAATTGTTCGACCATTTTCTTTAAACATTAACCCATTGTGTATATTAAAAAATAGATATTTTAATATGTTATTATATGATAAAATTTGACTTTAAAAATTATAAATACGTTACAGTATATCTAAATAAATAGAACGTTATTCAATAGAACAATCATAATGTCTCCATGGAAAGAAAAGAAGGTAGGTCGAACCTTATATAAAGTGATTATACAGAGTAAAAATGATTGAATATACTCCGAAAAGATGGGAGAGAGAGAGAGGTGGTGGAGCGTGAGTGTCATAGGCGCGTGTAGAAAGTCCTTAACGAAAGCAGAGTGGGGCCCGGGGGGGGATTTGGAAAAAGATACGTGCCATGTTACTTTTTGGGGAATGATAGACCACGAGTGCTTTTAAATGCTGCCGTCCCCACCCTTTCAATATTCCCCTACAAATTATTATTTATCTTTTTATTTCTTCCACAAAATATTATCATTCTTACTATTCAAAAAATAAATAAAAAAAAAAAAAATATATATATATAATGTAAAAACGTATCAAAATTATTGAAGACTACTCGACTTTTACAATATTGTTTTAAGAATAAATAAATCGTATTTTTGCTTAAATAATAAAATACATGATTCACCAAGCAAATTATTTAATAAATTATTGAAAACCTCTCTAACCTTCATGGTTAGAGATGAATTTTCATTAATTAATATACTCTATTTATTTAATACAAAATTTCATAAAGCTTATGAATTTAACATGCAAAGTTTATCTTTTGAATTTTAATATATATTTTTTAAAATAATTTAATGTTTTTCCTATTTTAAAAACGATCTGTTTTCTATTTTGTATTTAAAAACATTATTTTAACAATTGGGCTATTCTTTATGAAAAAAAAAAAAAAAACACAACAAAAGCTTTTAAACCACTCTTTTTTTTAGTTATGGAAATCTAGCTAAGATTTTAGGGTGGTTTACAGAAAGTATATTACAAGATTAATAATATATATATATATATATATATATATATATATATACATACATACATATATGAACAAAAATAGTGAATAGAGTGTGGGTTTGGTTGGAATTTAGTGTATTGGAAAATTGGAAGATGTAGCTCTTCATTATAACTGTTGGATGATGAAAGTTCCACATCGGTTAATTTAGGGAATGGTCATGGGTTTATAATCAAAGCAATACACTCTCCATTAAGTTTCAAAAGGGGACAATATCATACCATTGTGGAGAGTCGTGTTCGTCTAACAATAACAACACAAACACAGGCTAGTGAACAATTTATTTAATTTCTATTAGCAATCTGTTTTAAATTACATAAATATCTCTATTAAGTTAAATCATTTCATTTTTAGTAAATTAAATTATAAATTCCCTTTATAAAAAGTTCCCTCCAAATAAAAAGAAAAGAAAAGAAAACCCTTGAATTAAGCTTCCAATATTGTCCCCACTTTAACTGCCATTGATTTTGGAGGGCCCAGATTTCATCTTCTTTTGTTTCTTTTTTTCTCTTTGCATTTTATAATTCTTATATTTTAGAAATATTTGTTTTAAATAAATAAATCATACCACTCAATATGATAATATATTTAATGTGCACAAACGTCAAACGAATATTAGGTTCTTTTATTTATTTATAATAATTACTATTTTTATAAATAATTTAGAAAATGGATATAAATTCCATTCAATTATTTTCTCATCCTTCAACCTGATTATTTAAATAATTGAAAATAACACCAAATAATACACGTCACCGTCGGGCATTTAAAACAAAAACTTCGAGGGTGTGGGGGACGGGGAGCTAACTTCTTTTAGAAAGTTAATTGCAGTGCGACCCACTTAATTATATTTATTGTAATTCCCCCTTTAAATTAAATAAAAATTAAAAACAGAGCACGTCATTGGTCATTCATCCAAAAAACCAAAAATACAACAGTATTTATTGACGTCATAAAAATCCCAAAAAGTTATTACTTAATAAATATTGGGGGAAGGGCAAGTTTGTATATTCCGTTTTTTATTTTCAGAGTGTGGTACACGTGGCGTCTTCCAATGGGTTGCTCGGGAAAAGCCGATTAACACCATTAATAAATATGTGATAAATATTAAGGAAGTATTAAGTTTAGAATAATGTTTTATAATATAGTAACGTGTTTACTTAGTAACAAATTTAAGATGAAATAAATGATATTTGCTTAGGATTTTAAATCTGAGTGAAAAGACAGATTTGTTAATTTAATGTAAAATAAAATGATATTAAAATCAAAGATGCGTAAACCGAATATTTTTTCTTTATTAAGGAAAACAAAGCCAATGCTAGAGTGCCGGTGATCACGGGGATGTATGGACACGTGGCCCATTCTCGAGGGACCACCGAATTATGATCATGTGGAAGCACGTGCACTCTGACAAGTCATAGTGGGGCCCTCCACGTGATGTTCTATGGACTTATCAAGCAGCAAGCTTAGAAGTTACACAAAATGGAAATGACGCCGTTTACTGCACGTGCTTCAAGCG